ATAGTAAACCCTGAAGCTCTGATTTCCAAACTGCCAACCACAAATTCATAACTACTTAATAACCACCTGCAGGCTCGACCACCATTTGACCTTCTAGGATATATCAAAAAGGATTTTAATTTAAATTAAAAATAACTGTAGCCTGGCCGGTGTGGCTCAGTGGTTGAGCGTCAACCCATGCACCAGGAGTTCACCAGTTTGATTCCCAGGCAGGGCACAGGCCCCGGTTGTGGGCCTGATCCCCAGTCGGGGGCGTGCAGGAGGCAGCCAATCGATGTTCTCTCTCATCCATGTTTCTATCTCTTTCTCTCCCTTCCTTGCTCTCTAAAATCAATATAGAAAAATATTTTTTAAAAATTTAAAAAGTAACTGTATATATTTTTTCTTATTACCAAAGTACTAGAAGCAAAGAAATAAAAAAATGCAGACGAGCTCTGGCTAGTTTGGCTCAGCATTTAGAGCATCGGCCTGTGGTCCAGAGAGATCCGGAATTGGTGTCCGCTAAGGGCATGTACCTCGGTTGCAGTTTGTCCCCGGCCCTGGTTGGGTTGTGTGGGTGGCAACCACTTGATGTGTCCCTTTCATGTCGATGTTTCTCTCTCTCTCCCTCCCACTCTATCTGAACAAAAAATGGAAAAATTTCCTCGGGTGAGGATAAAAAAAGAAAATGCAGACAAACAAAAAGAAAAAACTGGCCCTGGCTGGGTTGCTCAGTGGTTAGAGCATCAACCCACAGACTGAAGGGTCATGGGTTTGATTCCCGGCAAAGAGCATATACCTGGGTTGCAGTTCTGATTTCTGGCCCCAGTTGGGGTACGTGTAAGAGGCAACCAACCAATGTGTCTCTTTCACATTGATGTTTCTCTCTCTCCTCCTTCTCTCACTTCTACTCTCTCTAAAATTCAATGGAGAAAAATATCTTCCAGTGAGGATTAAAAAAATAATAATAAAGCAAAAGTAGTAACAGCGAAAATTACTCATAATCTCATCAAGATATAAACACTGCTAACACCATGGTTCCCTTTCCAGGACTTTTAAAATAATTGTACTGTATATACAATTTTTAATATTAATCATTCTAAAAATACAGGGTGGGTGGGCAAAAGTAGGTTTATAGTTGAGAGTGTGCAAAACACAGAGTTTATTCTTGTATTATTTATTAATTATTGTATTTTTTTATCCTCACCTGAGGATATTTTTTCTTTTTTTTTTTGTTCAGTAGAGTAGGAGAGAGAGAGAGAGAGAGAGAGAAACATCCATGTGATAGGGACACATCAAGTGGCTGTCTCCCGCACTACCCTAACCAGGGTAGGGGACGAATTGCAACTGAGGTTCGTACCCTTGACTAGAATCTATCCGGTGACTTATCTGTCTGCGGGCCGACGCTCTAACTGCTGAGCCAAACTGGCCAGGGCGTATTATTATTTGTTTTAATTCACCTACTTTTGCCCACCCCTGTATATACAGTACTTGAAAATGTTGATATATTATGAATATCTTTCCATGTCGATATGCATCTGTAACACTAGGTCTCAAAGTATGATCTGGGGACCCTGGGAGTCCCAAGAACTTTACAGAGTGTTTATGAGCTCAAAACTATTTTAATTTTAATTTTAATACATTATTTGTCTTTTTCATTCTTCTCTCACAAGCATGGAGTAGTTTCCTAGAGGCTACATAATATATCATACTGCAACAGTTTGAATGTAGAAGCAGCCGCTAAGGGCATGTATCTCAGTTGCAGTTTGTGTCCGGCCCCGGTTGGGGTCGTGTGGGTGGCAACCACTCAATGTGTCTCTCTCTTTTCTTTTTTTTTTTTATCCTCATCTGAGGACATTTTTCCATTTTTTGTTCAGATAGAATGGGAGGGGAAGAGAGAGAGAGAAACATCGACGTGAAAGGGACACATCGAGTGGTTGCCACCCACACGACCCAACCAGGGCCAGGGACAAACTGCAACCGAGGTACATGTCCTTAGCAGGAATTGAAGCCAGGTCTCTCTGGACCGCAGGCAACGCTCTAACTGCTGAGCCAAACTGGCCAGGGGTCTTCTCACTATTTTTGAATATATACTTGTTTTTCATAAAATATGTTATTCATGTTACCATATAATGGAATCTGTTTTAAGTGAAATAATGAATAGTTATTCTCTCAGTTTTAATTTCAAAAGTTTTGATAGATGTAGCACACAAGAAAAACCTCATTGGAGTCCTCAATAATTTTCAAGAGTATAATTTTGGTCCTGAGACCAAAAAGTTTGAGCCCCTGTGATCTACAATATTATTTTTTAAAATTATTATTATTATTATTTTTAATAATTTTTTTTTTTTATCCTCACCCGAGGACATTTTTCCATTTTTTGTTCAGGTAGAGTGGGAGGGAGAGAGAGGAACAGAGAGAGAGAGAGAGAAACATCGATGTGAAAGGCACACATCTAGTGGCTGCCACCCACACAACCCAACCAGGGCCGGGGACAAACTGCAACCGAGGTACATGCCCTTAGCGGGAACCGAACCCGGGTCTCTCAGGACCGCAGGCCGACGCTCTAACCGCTGAGCCAAACCGGCCAGGGCTTTTCTTATTTTTTTATCCTCACCTGAAGGCATTTTATTTTCCATTTTTTGTTCAGATAGAGTGGGAGGGAGAGAGAGAGAGAGAGAGAGAAACATCGACATGAAAGGGACACATCAAGTGGCTGCCACTTGCACGACCAACCAGGGCTGGGGATAAACTGCAACCAAGGTACATGCCCTTAGCGGGAACTGAACCTGGGTCTCTCTGGACCGCAGGCCGACGCTCTAACCGCTGAGCCAAACCGGCCAGGGCTACAATATTATTTTTTAATACCTGCTTTATTCCTTGGCACTGGTGTGTGATAATTCATTCAACCAGTAAGTGATGCCTAGAATAAAATCCTTCAAGTTAATTTGTGTCCACTCTTTTTTTTTTTTATCCTCACCCGAGGACATTTTTCCATTTTTTGTACAGATAGAGTGGGAGGGAGAGAGAGGAAGAGAGAGAGAGAGAAACATCGATGCGAAAGGGACACATCAAGTGTGGCTGCCACCCGCAGGAACAACCAGGGCCGGGGACAAACTGCAGCCGAAGTACATGCCCTTAGCGGGAACCGAACCCGGGTCTCTCTAGACCACAGGCGGACGCTCTAACCGCTGAGCCAAACCGGCCAGGGCTTGTGTCCACTCTTAATAATTTATTTAGGATAATTTTCAGGGATGATTTTAAAAATGTATACTTATTTACTTACTGTACAAAAATGGACGAATCAATAATACAATTCACACACTCAGCCAATCAACTCTTTCCATTCTTTCTGTTTTCTTCCAATCAACGAAGGGGAGTATAAGGCATTTAAGACTGCTACTAGCTTAAGAGCTTAGCACTAAAAGAACAACAACAACAACAAGAAACAAAAAAGATTTTAGTACTAGGTCAGCATTTCCAAGGAGAAAATAAATACCTTGTGGTTCATCTAGCCCAATGAGCTCCAACTTAATCTCTCTGGAAACTTTTTTTTTTTTTTTAATGCTTTTTTTATATTGATTTTTTAGAGAGAGAGGGGGAGAGAGAAACATTGATGTGAGAGACACATCCATAAGCTGCCTCCTAAACACCCCCTACTAGGGATTGAGCTGGCAACCCTGGTATGGGCCCTGCCCAGATTCAAGCTGGGATGTCTCAGTACATGAGAGATTGCTCACTAGAGGGGCTGAGCCACACTAGAGAGGCTCTCCGGAATATATATAAATATAAATATATATATGTAAATATATATATATATTTAATCCTCACCCGAGGACATTTTCCCATATTTTGTTCAGATAGAATGGAAGGGAGGGAGGGAGGGAGAGAGAGAGAAACATCAACGTGAAAGGGACACATCCAGTGATTGCCACCCTCACGACCAACCAGTGCCGGAGGGGGGGGGGGGAACAGCAACCGAGGTACGTGCCCTTGGGGGGAACCGAACCCTCCTCTCTGGGCGGCAGGCCTACGCTCTAACGCTGAACCGGCCAGGGCCAGAATCTTTTTAAATAGCAAATTCCCAAGGTTGTGAGAAGGAACTGAGTATAATATTCCATTGCCTTTATGTACATGCTACCTGTTGGTGAAATAAATTTATTTTCTTGAAATACAGGCTAAAATGAGTGCAGAAGTGGTGCGCTGCAGCCGTTTGTCTAGCTGTCCGTCTATCTTCACAGACTAGTAAGCTTTTTCTGGGCCAGCTCCTAGGGCGTGTCCTCTCTTCTATTTCCAGTGCTAAGCACGGTGCCAGGCACTTCCTAAGGTGGAAACAAATTTTGGTGAACTGCTGAAAGAAGGCTTTACCGTTGGGGATCCTTATTCAGTAGGTCTCATGCAGATCCCAGAAACCTGTATTTTAACAAATCCGGCCTTCGACGTCAAATAACAAGGGTTCAAGTGTCAGCCCTACTGAGTTACAGGCTAGGCCCCTCGGTCTTGATCACTCGATGCCAGTCTTGCATCCCCTGTAAGAGGACATATAACAGCTGCCTCACAGGGTTGCTGTGAAGTTTCAACGAGGTCGTCCACGTCATATTCTCGGTTCCATGACCAGCACAGAATAAGCCCAGAGAAAAGGCCTAACAGTAGGGCCTGCTGGAACCTAAGATGGGCCGGGAAGAGGGCCTAGAGAAAGCGCGCGTGGGTGCCAGGGTGGGTGTGTTCGTGGGGGGGCGGGGCCATCATGCTGCCCGACTCAGGGGGTCTGTGGGCGGAGCCATGGGCCCCGCGGGGCCGCAGGCGAGGGCGGGGTCGGAGGTGTAGCCTGAGAGGAGCTTTCCGGGAGTGAGACGCCGTCTGGCGGGAGCTGACTGCGGCAGGGAGCCGAGGGAGGGCGGAGGGAGAAGGAGGAGGGGTGAGCGTGAGGCGGCAGTGGGGCGGGGAGGGCGGCGAGGGCGGCGGGCGGGCCTGTCCCTTTAAGTTGTGGGACGCTCCGTCGTTGCGCGGAGGCGCGGCCTGCCTCCCTCGCACTACGCCGCAGCGCGCCCCGGGCTTGGCCGACCCGGGGGAACCACGGCCAGGCAACCTAGCGGTGCCGCGCTGCACGGTGAGCGGGACCGGGCGGGGGCTAGCGTCTGCGGTCGGGAGGCTCTGGGCCCCGAGCTGGGGCCTCCAGAGGCCGTGGCCGCGGCGTGCTTCTCGGGGGCCGGGAGAAACGGGCTGCTCGCGCGCGGCCTGAGCCCCGCCTACGCGGAGGACAAAGTCGGGGGTACCGCCGCTGGTGGGTGCTGGGCGTGGGCATGCAGGCCCGGGCGACTCTGGCGCTGCGAGCCGGCGGCTCCTCTGCGGCCCCTTCGCCTGCGTCGCTGGGGCCCGCACGCCTGGCCCCGCACGTCTGGCCTGTCCGCCTCAGCGGCGCGTCGGAGAGCTGGGGGCGAAGAGCGCGATGGTCTCCGCCTCCTCCCGGCAGCAGGATTCGGTCCAGCGGCACAAAGGCTGCTGTCAGTGCTGTTTCCCTCCGGGACCACGCGCTGCTCGCCAGAGCCTGAGAAACTGGTCCCGGTGTATGAGAACAGTTTTGATGGTATATTGTTCTTCACTTAGAAAAAAACAAGAAGCCCCTTAAATAACTATGGTACCTGCTTTGTGTATGCTCCTATTTACTTAAATGTCTTTCCAGTAAGATTTTGGGATTAGGATGAAGACAACCGTAAGAGATGGGGTCAAAAATCCCCTTTTTGGTAGTTGTAGGATGAAAACTAGTTCTGGAAAAATCAGTTTTCAAATACCTATTTTTGGCTTCCACAAACATGTACTGGTGGCTCCAAAAATTATCCTACTTGGTATGTGTTGTTAAATAAATTAGATAATTGAGCTACTAACGGTCTTTAGAATTACTTATGGGCCTCGGTAACAATCACCAAGGCTGGATATGCCCTTTATTCTTTTCACCTTATTGTTTTTGCTTTATTTGTACTTCATAATACTTAGTGTAAAAGTTTACAGTAATCATAAAGGCCTCATTAATGCACCTTTTATCCCTCTTACATCAGTAGTCATTTATTTTAATTGGTTCTATTTTGGGGGGTTGTTTTAATCCCAAGAAGTTATATCTTTTTAAATTTTAATAGCCACATTGGTTGTTTAACCACTGTCAGAATTTGTGCTGGTCTTTTTCTTTTTAAACTGTAATATCTTCTTAATAACTTTGAAAAATCTATGGTACCTGTGGTATAGAATCAAAACAAGAGCTTCATATTTTAATAACTTAGAGTTCATAATGCAGTTAATAATTTACTATCCCTTTTGTTTGCTAAATTATTTAAGGAATGACTGTCAGCTCTTTTCTTTGAACAACTTCATTCTAATTATGTTAAGAAACAATGAGATAGTCATTTTTAATTCTAAAAATTAAAATATTATTAAACGTTATAATACAATATTAATAGTTTTTATTCAGGCATAAAGTTGAATAATGGATCTAAAACTAAAGTTGAATAGTAGCAGTGCAGTTTTGAAACTATTTGCTTGATATACTCTCAAGTTACTGATCACACACACACACACACACACACACATTCAGCTTTTTTTTGTTTGTTTGTTTTTTTATCCTCACCCGAGGACATTTTTTCTATTTTTTGTTCAGATAGAGTGTGGGAGGGAGAGAGAGAGAGAGAAACATCGACGTGAAAGGGACACATCGAGTGGTTGCCACCCACACGACCCAACCAGGGCCGGGAACAAACTGCAACCGAGGTACGTGACCTTAGTGGGAACCGAACCTGGGTCTCACAGGACCGCAGGCCGACGCTCTAACCGCTGAGCCAAACCGGCCAGGGCCACATTCAGCTTTTATAGTCACCATTTCTAAGTCTGAGAAATTTCAGCATTCTAGATCTTTGAAGATGGCCAATTAGGGCATTATTATATAAAACTGTAGTTTTTTTCTTTCTTTCATGTTTAATGTTTTATTGAGTGACATTAAATGATTACTCAAAAGTCTTCTAACACAAACAATGAGTTTTGGTTCATTTGTGCTGTTTTTCATTTTTGTATTTGTTTTTACCCTCCCACTTACCTTTGAATTAAAGTGTTATCTTTTTGTTTTTTCTTTAGCCTCCTGAGAGCTACTGATTGTCTTAGAAGAAACATGAAGTCATATTCTGTTGTTTTGTTTACTGTAGCCATCTTGGTGTTCCTGACTTGGATCCCTGTGTCACTGAGTTGTAACAAAGCACTCTGTGCTAGTGATGTGAGCAAATGCCTCATTCAGGTAGGACTAAGAGTACTTATTGTTAATATTAAGATGTCTTGTAGAGTAGATATAGAGCACATATATATATAGATATAGAGTGTATATAGAATGCAGTGTATTAGGTGAGGGCTTGAGGTACTGAATCATGACATAGTAAGTAGTCTGGGTTTTTGCCCCCATAGTTCTCTTGCATACAAGCAAGGTCAGATTCATGAAGTTCAGTACTGAGCCCTGGCTGGTTTGGCTCAGTGGTTAGAGTGTTGGCCGGTGGACTGAAGGGTATTGGGTTAGATTCCTGCATTCTGGTTCAAGGGCAGGTTAGATCACTCACCCTGGTTAGAGTCGTGTGGGAGGCAACCAGTCAGTGTGTGTGTGTGTCTCCCCCCCCTTCCACTCTGTCTAAAAAAAAAAATCAATGGAAAAATATGCTTCAGTGAGGATTAACCAAAAAAAGTTCAGTACTGAAAATAATATTCAACTTTATAAACATTCCATTACAAGGTGATGAGCACTTTATTCAGAAGAATTAAAGGGTTTCTCTTGTATAGACTAGGTTATATAGCAGAGACAAAGTAACTATATTAGGAAAGAAAATTAGTCAAATAATAGACAAATTGTACCCTAAATGTAATGTGTTAGTTGTCTCTTTTTTGTAAGAAGTCACCTCCAAATGTAGCAGCCTAATTCAGTAAACATTTATCATTTCATGTAGTTTGTTAGGGTTGGGAATCTGGGAGCAGTTTATCTGGGTAATTTTGGCTCAGGTGTCTCAGGCAAATTGTCATCTGGGATTGGGTAATCGGCCTCCAAGATACTTGATAATTATCTTTTTCAGTTTTCAAGGCAAACCTAGTGATGTAGCTACCACTGTCATTTTCTGAAAAGTGAGGTTAAGTAATTTGGCTAGGTTCATATAGCTAGTAAGTGGCTGTCGAATGTGGTCTGTGTTTGACTCCAAAGTCTGGGTAGCCTTTCCACTGATCATACTGGTTATCACTCTTCATAAAGCTGTGTTCATTAGTGGTGAATTTCATGTCTTATATAGCTGTTCTCTCTTTTCCATCCTATTAGATCATCGGCAGTCGTATGCCCTTTGTTGTGTCTGTATTTATCAGTCTCCCTTCTAGTTAGTGGCTGTTGGCTAAGAAATTCATTAACCACACATACCAGAATTCTGTGTAAGTATGAGTTAGCTAACTTTTGGCTATAATCCTGACATAAGAGCAATTGTGTGTATGTACTAAAGTAATAATGACTTTTATAGATCAGAGGCATTTTGTGCTTACTTCTGACATTTTGGTTCTTCTCATTAATAGTTGAAATTCTAGGAAGTATGGCCTTTATGTGAGTGTAGTTTGCCACCATCTCAACTCTGTTTATTCTTACTTTGCATTTTTTTTTATCCTTACCCGAGGACATTTTTCCATGATTTGTTCAGCTAGAGTAGGGGTGGGGGGGAGAGAGAAACATTGATGTGAAAGGGACACATCAAGTGGCTGCCTCCCGCACGACCCAACAAGGCCTGGGGACAATCTGCAACCGAGGTATGTGCCCTTAGCAGGAACCGAACCTAGGTCTCTCTGGACCGCAGGCAGATGCTCTAACCAGCCAGGGCTTACTTTGCATTTCAAACCAAAATATTTAACTAGAAAAGTTTGTTAGTTGAGTGGTTGTTTTTTTTTATTTTTTTACTATAAACATTTTCAAGCACAAATACAAGAGATGAGGATATAATGTATAATAAACAGCAGTTACAATAAACAGTTACAGCAATCATTAACTCAGTTACCCTTGTTTTATCTCTATTCCCCTACTCTGACCATGCCAGCTCTGTTTTAATTTCAAGCAAACCCCTGATACTATTTGACCATAATTCTAATACCTGTCTGTTAAAGATATGAACTCTTTAACACATAGCTATTAGCATTTGTTAAGTTACCAGTAATTCTTTAATATCATGGAAATTTTGATATGGCATGTCTGCTTAGACTTATGCTTGCTGAAAATTTTGTAGTGTGTGCATTAATTCCAGCTTTGTGCTGTGGTCAGATGGGGAATCTACTCATTTCCCCAGTTGTTTCAGTGTAGCTTCATTATTCATTAATAGAAATAAAGTCTCATCACAATTGCTATATTCATGGTGGAGATTCACTTAAATTCCAAGTTACTTTTATTTATTTATTTATTTTTTGTTAATCCTCACCAGAGGATATTTTTCCATTGATTTTTAGATAGAGTAGAAAGGAACGAACATCCATGTGAGAGAGACACATTGATTAGTTGTCTCCTGCATACCCCGACTATGGCCGGGGATCCAAGCTGTAGCCCAGGTATATGCCCTTAACCGGAATCGAACCTGTGACCCTTCAGTTGAGGGCCCATGCTCTAACTGCTGAGCCAATCCGTCCAGGGCCCAGGTTATTTTTTGACTTTCCAAGTCTATAATTTCCATTAGTTCAAATAATGAAAAATTAAACTTCATTTAAAATATCTTGCTTGGTAAGGGAGTATTTAAATGAGAAAGCTTTGGCTTAATAGTGATAATACTCTGAAAGGTTTTTTGTTTGTTTCGTTTTTTATTTAAAAAATTTGTAACACAAAATACTTCCAAAAGTAAAGAATACTATATAAATGTAAAAACTGGAAAATCACTTGAAGCTTCACCTATCAAATGGAGATTCTAGTAAACTCACTATAAAGAAACTAGGCCTTATTTATTTATTTATTTGTTTTACCACTAATTCACTGATGTTAATATTTCTCAGATTCCTGTTGTTCCTTCAGAGACAGAAATCATCAAATGTTTTCCTGTAGTAGTAGAGACTACTTTTCTGGTGCATAGTGGCATATCATGTGAGGTTAAAAATATGGAAGGCTCACCCTTGCTGGTTTGACTCAGTGGTTAGAGCGTTGGCCTGTGGGCCAAAGAGTTACAGATTCGATTTTGGTCAAGGGCGCATACCTCAGTTGCAGTTTAGTCTCTGGCCTTAGTCGGGGTTGTGCAGGAGGCAACCAGTTGATGTGTCTCTCTCACATTGATGTCTCCACCCCCCCACACACACCCCTTTCACTTTATCTGAAGATAAATGGAAAAATATCCTCAGGTGAGGATTAAAAAAAATATATGGAGGTCTCAAGTGTTGAGGATTTTCTTATTTGTTTATTCACAAACGCTCATTGGGCATTGAAGTGACATGTGATTAGTTCCACCATTTGCCTGGTTTTCTGGACTCCACAACTCCAGCAGATTATTTTACATTCTGAGTTTTACTTTCCTCATAGTGCTCTTACTATGGCTATATAACATACCACCCCAAATATCAGTGGCTGAAAACAGGATATTTATTTTGCCTATGAATTTGCGCCACACAGCATTAGCTGGGGCAGCTTGAAGGCTGGAGGCTGGAATTATTTGAAGCAACGTTGTTAACTAGAATTTTTTACTATGGTGGAAATGCTCTACGTCTGCCCTGTCCAGTGCAGTAGGAACTAGCCATGTGTTTACCAAGTACTTGAAACATGACTAATGTGAATGAAAAACAGATTTTAAAATTATATTTAATTTTAATTAAGTTAAATATAAATAGCTACATTGACTGACTGGTGACTGCTCTACTAAATATCACAAATCTGAAGGCTCACTGATAAGTCTTAATACCTGGGCAAGGAATATTCCCTCCCTCCCCCGCCTTCCTTTTCTTTTTCCCTGTCTTCTCTATTTGACCTCTGCAGCTTGTTGGCTTGAGACTAGCCAGATTTCTTCCATGTTGGCTCAGGACTTCCAAGATTACATGTCTCATGAAAGAGGGCCTTTCATGGCCTCACCTTAGAGATTATGGTGTTACTTCCACTATAGTCGTAGGTCAACCTGGATTTAAGTGGGAGCATAGGCCCCACCTCTGATGGAGGAGCATAGGTGTCATGTTGTATAGAGAACATGTGGATGTGCTATGGTGGTGTAGCCATCCTTGGAAAATACAATCTGCCATATCTTAACTATAAAATGAATTGGTTGACTGAGTGATCTCAAAGTTTTCTTTAGTTCTTTAGAGTTCTAAAGAAAGAAATCAACTATTACGTGTTAAGTATTTTTTTATTTTTATTTTTTTTATTCTTATCCGATGACATTTTTCCATTTTTTGTTCAGATAGAGTGGGAGGGAGAGAGAAGAAAAGAGAGAGAGAGAGAAACATCGACGTGAAAGGGACACATCGATGGCTGCCCCCCCACCCCACCCCCGTACGACCCATCAAGGGCCGAGGACAAACTGCATCCGAGGTATGTGCCCTTAGCGGGAACTGAACCCAGATCTCTCTGGACCGCAGGCCAACGCTCTAACTGCTGAGCCAAACCGGCCAGGGCTTAAGTATTTTTTTAAAACCAGAGTAATAAAAGCCTCTTTTTAAAAAGTGAAATTGTTAGAAGGATGAATAATGAAAAATAAATCCCTTGACTAATTCTCCCTACTCTTCATTCTGTTACCCAGGGAGAACCACTTTTAATTTAGTAACTGCTTCCATTTTTATTTATTTTTGTGATTTGTTTTTTAGCCATCTGGCTAAATTTTATGCTTATATTACTATTTCTTAATTTATTAATTCTAGATAGTTTATATCTAAAAATGCCTTCCTGCCATATTATATTAGGACATAGCTCACTTACCATCCTCTCCTCCCCAACCCTTACCCTGCCATAATTGTTTTACTGTTTTTAGTTTCTCTCTTGGTTACCTTTTTAGTCTCTACAATACATTTAAATCTTTCAGTTCTGTGCTATCAACCAGAAACACTATCATTTTTGTGTTGTTGTTAATCCTCACCTGAGGATATTTTTCCATTGATTTTTAGAGTGGCAGGGGTGGGGGAGGGGGAGAGGGAGAAAGAGAGAGATGAAGAGAAACATCCATGTGAGAGAGAGACATTGATTGGTTGCCGCCAACATTACCCTGACCAGGGCTGGGGAACAAACCTGTGACACTTCATTCCACAGGCTGATGCTCTAACTGCTGAGCCATACTG